ACAGTAGTGAGAATAGACACTCTTGTTTCATTGCTGATTTCAGAGGAAATTTTATGTTTTCCTCATTCAGTATGATGTTGGTTGGTGATGACTTTTATCACTTCAAAATAAGGTCCTTCTGTGCTTATTTTTATAGGGTTTTCATCAGGAAGGGATAGTGAATTTGGTTAAAGCTTTTTCTGCATCTGTTGAGATGATCATGTGATATACTTATCCTTCATTCTATTTATATTGTGTATTACATTTATTGAATTATGTATATTGAACCACTCGGTCATGCATGGTGATTGATCTTTTTAATATCTTGTATTCTGTTTGCACATATCTTAGTGAGGCCTTTTTCACTGAAGTTCTTCAACAGTATTGGCCATTAGTTTACTTTTTCTTATACTCTTATCAGTTTTGGTATCAGGATAATGCTAGTTTCATGGAATGAGTTTGAAAGCATTCTTTCACTTTCAATTATTTGCAAAAATTTGTGGAATATTGGCAGTGGTCCTTCTCTAGAATTCTGGTAAACTTAAGTGTTAAATTCATCAGGTCATATGCTTTTCTTTGTTGGCAGAATTTCTATTATTGCATCAAGGTTATTAATTGCTGTCAGTCTGTTCAGGATTTTTATATCTTCTTCATTCACTTTTGGTAAGTCATATATGTCTAAAAATTTAACCATTTCTTTTTAGATTCTTCTATTTGTTGCTTAGAACTTTTAAAATTGTTTCAAATAATCCATAAGATTTCAGTGCTGCCTGTTGTTTTTGTTTTGTTTTGTTTTTTGGTACTGGGGATCAACCTTGGGCCCTTGAGCTTGAAAGGCAGGCTGCAAACCACTGAGCTAAATCCCTGGCCCTGCCTGTTTTAATATCATTCTTTTTTCCAATTCTATATTTGTTTGACTTAAGTCCCCTCTTTTGGTAATATTGGTGAAGGTTTATCTTCATAACTTCATTATTTCATAGATTCTTATATATTGTGTTTCAGTTGTCATTTGATTCTATGAAAATTGTTTTCTGGTGTCTTCTGTGACCCATTGATTGTGCTAGAGTGTATTATTCAATATGAATGTGTTTGCATCTTTTCTTTGGTTAGCTTTTGTTGATTACGGGTTTTGTCCCATTCTGATCAAATATGATGTATGAGTTTATTTCAGTTCTTTTGTATTTATTGAGACAAGCTTTAGGACCTAAAATATGTTCTGTTACTAAGAAAGCGCCACAGGCTGCTGAAAAGAATGTATACTGCTATTATTTGATAAGGAGAGGATAGATGCCTACTAAATCTACTGCTCAATAGAGTGGTTCAACTATTTGTTGATATTTTTGACTGGCTGACCTATTTTTGAGAGTGGGACACTGAAGTCCCCTTCTGTGACTATATTGGATATTTCTGTATTTTTACACTTAATCTTAGCCTACAGGCTGAGAAGCTATATTTTTAATGTCAAGAAGTTTTTGTTTTGTGAAACATGTTTTGTGAAATATGCTTGTATTTCTTACACATATATTTATAATTTTTATATTTTTGGTGAATCATTCTTTTTATCAATATGTATTGACCATCTTTATCTATTCTCTCCAGTTTGTTTTGAAATCAACTTCACCAGAAAATAGAATAGCTCTTCCTTCTTGCCTTCATGTTCCTACTTCTTGGAATCTCATTTTCCATCTTTGTGTTTTCATTATTTGTGTATCTTTAGGGATAAGTTGTGTTTTGCAGGCAACATATAGTTAGGTCTTTTTTTTTTCAATCCAATATGCCAGGGTGTGTCTTTAATTGGAGAGTTGAGATCATTTACATTGACTGTTATTATTCAAATATATGTACTGGGTCTTGGCATTTTATTGTTTTTCCAGCACTTGATTTCTTTGTGTTTTCCATTCATCTCACTGCTATCACAGCAATATTTGCTCTTTCTTTGGCTTTTTTGATGTTCTTGTCCTTTTTGTCTCTGTTCAGGATTGCTATAAATGTTTTCTAAAGTACTGATTTGGTAGTCACTGATTTCTATAGTGTATTTCTATCACAGGAGCCTTTATCTATCCTTCAATTTTGAAGGACAGATTTATGGGTTATAGTAATTTGGGCTAGCATCAATTTCTTTAAGGGTTGCAAAACTTCATTCCATACTCTCCTCACCTTTGAGGTTTGTGTTGATACATCTGTTACTATCTGGATGGGTTTGATCTTTAGGTGATTTAGTATTTCTAACAACTTTTAGTATTCTCTCTTTGTTCCAGCATCTTGAATATGATATGTCATGGAGAGACACTTTTCTGGTTATTTCTATGGTGGGCTCTAAATCATTCCGTTACCAGAGTATCCCTTTTATTTTCTACATTTTGTAAATATTCTGCAATGATTTCAGTGAATAAAATTTTATTCTATCTTTCCTTTACATTGAGCCCTTTCTGAAATTTAATGATGTTTATTCTTTTAGAGTCATCTAGAAGATGCCTATTTGAGAGCTCAGTAAAATTTCTGGAACTATATATGAAAGATTTGGCTCACAAATAAGAATGTAGGAAACAAATAAAATGATATTTCCAGCCACAGATCTAAATAGACTGGTTTAGACTCTAATTAGTCTCTATTTCATCTCCCCCCACCTCCTTTGGTACCAGGGATCAAACTTGGGATCTTGTGTTGCAAGGCAGGTGGCAGAACCACTGAGCTAAATCTCTGGACCCTCTACTTAGTCTCTAAATCATACAAGCACAAGAAAAGTCCCACCATTTTGTAGCTGTGTCCACTATAATAGAAGAAAAGAGGGATGCAGGGTGTCTTCTAGTGCTGAGAACACTTCTTTCCCCACAGTTCTTGTCCAGGACTAGTAAGATGCCCCTTGCCCTTAAAAAAGTCTTGGGTTTCCTTAGTGCATTCTATTATTCCCCACCAATAACCCTTTGTCAAATCCTATCTCCATAACTGTTTTCTCTGTGCTTTTGTAAAATGATATGTAAGTGAATCTTCAAACATGCCTTCCAGTCAAAACAGCACTCATAAATCACCTATAGGGAAATATGCTGAGGCCATTTAAATTTTAGCTTGAGGAAAAAAGAATTCTGATATCAAATATTTCATCTCAGTTAAATTCATGTACCTCAAAAGTGAAACCAGAACAGTAAAACTAACTATGGAAGTAAGCATTCTTTAAGTGCTTCTTGCCTACACTTGATATATACAATTGATATATAATTTTGAGGATACTGTATTGGGGTCATTTCAACGGTAGTTACAACATATTAAGATATTATTTTAGTGATCAGTTATGTAAATACAAAATTATTTTCCAGCCTCTTCATTGGCAGGTTACACTTCACACAGGAAAATCTGGATGGAAAAATTTTAAAAGAAAATACTCATCTATTTAAACATCTCAAAGATGCTGTTGTTTTCTGTCCAAATAGCAGCTAGAAAAATCAAAACTTTCTTCTGGAAGGAAATTGTTTGGCATTCAATTTTGAAAAAAAAATGAAGATAGAAAGGAGATGGAGTTGTTAAGTAAAAAGTTCTGAAAATAATGACATAATGAGATTAACCACAGATATTTCGCTTTATTAAATAGTTACTTCTTATTTTACATGATGACTAATTAACTTTGCTGATTGGATGCAACAGATTCATCCAAATACTAAGTTGTTGCTACCAGTCTTGCCTCCCCCAACATATGGCTTCTTATTGGCCTTAAAAAATAAGTTTAACATTAAAGTCTTTTCAAAATAATCTAAGAAATCATTGCTAACTTGTAATAGTTATTTAATTATTTGAATCAAATGTCACTTTCAGAATTGATAAAAATGAGAGAATCATGTTACCACAGCCTTTACATAAAAATTAGACACATGATTGTTATTTCTCAAATACAACCTTTTATGATCTTCAATGCAAATATTTATTTTTATATTTCAAGCATTTTGCTATTATATGAAATAAAATTAAGCAATTTAATATACATATATGAATTTTTCTTGTCCATTCATTTGTTAGTTTCTTCATGCTTATTCACTTACCAACTTTTCCAAGGATTTGGTATGGTTTTCAGTAATTCATAATATAAAACAAAACAAAAATCAATGAAGAAAATAATCAAGTAGGTAGTTTAGATGTGTGGCGGCCCAGCTGTCACAACACGAACGTACCTGAGTTGGGAGTGAGGATTGAGAAAGGACAGCACACTCAATAGTGTGGAGATAAGAGATCCAATTTATTACACAGAAACAGCTCCTTTTTAAGGCAGGCCAACAGGAAGCATCAAGCAATATTAGGGAGGAGATCAGATCTTTGGCTAGCTGAGTTCCTCCCATCACAAGGTCAAATTTAACAAAGTCCTTGAGCCGGGTGTGGTGGTGCACGCCCGTAATCCCATAAAACCAGTCTGGATTACACAGTGAGCTCCAGGTCAATCTCATCTGTATAGCTGAGACCCTTGTCTCAGAAAAGCCAAATAGAGTCATAGATTGTGTCAATGCCTCAATGGTAGAAGTTACTTTTCCAATGTCAAATGCCAGCGGGCTCCCACAAGATGGAAAAGAAATTAAAGAAGAAAGGAAAGTTAAAATACATCTACCATCATTGTGAGGATCATATTTATATAAATCTCTCATAAAATATACACTTGGTGAATAAATGAGCATTAACAAAAATCTTGAAAATGTTATTCAAGAAAAAAGACATGTAGTTTAGTTAAGCTTTGATTATGAGACATTAAATTGATACCAATTTATATTTAGCTTACAATTAGTGAATCCAAGTATTATAAATACTTTGTCATAAATATTTGCATTTCAAAAGTCATAACCAATGGAAGAACTGTTTTTTAATGTCTGTTTAATGTACTAATTGGATGGTACTAAGAAAATCAGTGTAGTAACAGCTGCACATGCAATTGAATTTGATGGAATTATAATTATAGAGAAAAATTGCTAGCAATGTAAACAGAATGAAACTGTGCTGAAATGAAAATAGCACAAACTGATTTGTGTTTCTCTGAAAAATTCCAGGTGTTGTCAAAGTGGATTATGGAGATGTGTCAGTCAGAAAAACACTAAGAGAAAATCTGAAGTGTAAGCCCTTTTCTTGGTACCTAGAAAACATCTATCCTGACTCCCAGATCCCGAGACGTTATTACTCACTTGGTGAGGTATGAATTATTTATTTTGGTTAAGTTATAAATGTATTTTGCAAATGGAGCAATTTCTAAAGAGCTCAATTTTCTTTTTCATGTACTGAATAAAATGCTGTAAGGGTTTTTAAATAGATTTATTTAGATTCTTTTTTCAAGGACAAGAAAGGTCCTAATTGTAGGGAACTGTAAAAGTAAGTGAAATTTCTAAAACTGAAGAAATAATGTTTTCTTGTTTCTTGACAAACATTTCTAAAACTTTGGGTCATACAAATCTTAACTCTTAAAATTTTTTGTGAACGCCAAAGAGCTTTTTGTTTACATGAGTTAGAAATATTATTATTTGAAACTAAAACTAATAATTTAAAATTTTATAATTTTTTAAAACAATGTAATAATCAGTTGCACCATAATATAAATAACACATTTTTAAGAACTAAATATTTTTAAAATCACAATCAAATAGTGAAAATACTGGAACCAAAATCTTTTATATTTTTGTAAATCGTGCTAAAGTCTGCTTAATAGAAGACAGTTATATTTTCATATGTGCTTTGATATTCAACCTACTAAAATATGACACAATCAGTTGAAATACTCTGAAAAACTCTATACACACATGAGAAAGTGTGTGAACCCTACAAGTCTTGTGTTGATATTGCTATAAAAGTGATAACACTTTCATTGATCCATATCATTTTTCCATACTATTTTATTCAGTAGTATACAACTAGTTCATCATAACTCTGTAACATATATTATTATATATTTAATTGTTCAAAATAAGAATTATTTACCTTTTTAATTATATGCATCATACTAGTAATTTCTCAAGAGATTAGGTTTCTGAGTCAAAGTTGATTTAATATTAGTGCTGATAAAAGCATTTCACCAGCAACAATACAATGCATAGAGCAAATACTTTATTAATTGTGCATGACATTTGTTTTAAATTGCCACGTTTTTAGGCCAAAATGGTAGACTATCTAGCAATTTATTTGGATCAAGTTATTACTTTTTTGATCATACTGTTTACTGCTCTGAGAGTTTATAAACATATTTTATGTATAACAAAGTACAAAACAATGAAAGAAAAAAATGCTTGACTTGGATAGAGCCCTTACTGAATTGTTTTTAATGACTATTTTGTGTTTTATCTACCCTTGCAGACAAATCTCTAGTTCCTCATTAACTGTGTCAATATTTGTTCATATAATCTTCAGTTCACATGTTCAATCCGACTAATGTAGTGAAATGTTTTGTGTGTAGTAACACTGACTTACACCTTCTATGTATGTGACTATAGTCCTGCCTCTCAGAATATTATTTTGTTATTGCTATTTGTTTATCTTTACTAAGGAGCATTTTTGCTGGTTTTTCTAAAATAAGACATACCCATCTTAGTGCTGATCTCACAGGATTTATATTCAACACACAGCTTATATGAGAGTGATTTTAAAATAAAATAAACTTTGAATTACAATCCACTGAAGATCTGTGATAAAATACTTAACACTCATTTCTTTTGTGGAGTCTGTTTAACCATGTACTTCGCTATACCCATAGAAGAAAGATATGTTTCTCTTCTTGTAATAAAGTATATCTCTCACTTTTATCAATGAATCCAAATGATGAGTAAATGATAATTCCTTTTTTTTTTTTTACCAAAAAATGGTGTGTGGCAAGGGGCTAAACAGAGACCAGAAACCAAAAAAAGAACTTTTTGCAAAGTCCCTTCGACCACTAGGTAAATCTTGAGAGTCAGGGTTTTGAACCAGAATGAGATGTTTATTTCCAAATTAAAAATCTAATTTTATGCTTTCCTGTACTACACCAAAGAAACCTGAATGTCTTAAACAGTAAGAATAAAATATAGCATAGAAAAAATTCCTTCTACAACTTATTGATACTAAATTACCTATCTTCTATAGTATATCAGGTTGCTATACTTTAATTTCTAGACATACTTTGTGAAAAACTTTTAAAGAGAGACCTCAAACTTTGACACATATCCATAAGAGGTAGCATGGTATACTGGAAAAATCCCAGGGTCAAAGTCAGGCAGAAGATTCAGATTCTGGCCTCATAGTTTCCTACTTCAGTGGTGCCCAGTATTCTCTCTGTACCTCTATCAGCAGAACAGACTTTCTAATATGGGGTTTCATGGAGGAGCGGGGACAGAGCATGTCGCACAATGCCTGGCACAGAGAAGTAGCCCAGTAGTTACGCTTATTGTAATTGTTAAAGGCACCATTTACTGCTTTCTTGCTATCTTAAAAATTGTTCTAGGTGACATGTATGTGTTACATTATGTAAAAGTGACAATGCCTCGATGGCTTGGGTTTTGTTATTCCCTGATAAGGAAACTGAGCTGTATGTGTAGGTCTGTGTGATTGGCCCATGAGCCACATAACTAGTTAATTATTGAAGTCAGGTTTCAAATAACTTCTAATCTAATTGTAAAGTTTGCTATTGTTTTACTGAAAGAAAATAGCTGATTTTATTATATTTTATTTATTTAAAATGTTTTTATTAAATAAGAGCTTGAGCTAAATCCTATGTTATAGTCTGTGGGTGCAAGACCAAATGAAGAAAGATGTTTGCTATTAAGCCGTTCTGCTGAAATGGGCAGAGGATTACAAGAGATGATCAAACAGGAGAAGAAAATCAATAGAAATGAAAGGTGCCATACATGAGCTATATGATATGCCATCAGCGGTGGTTTCACCAAGCCAATAAATTTTCTTTAGCTCTATGAAATATATTGTTTTGAGATTTCTGGGTATTAGTGTGCTATAGTTTTCCACCTTAAAACCAGCTTTAAAGAAATACAATCCAGCATCTGTTTCCATGGAAACTGAAGAGCAAATTCACCAAACAGTACTCAATTCAATTTTGCGCAGGCATGTATAAATAATTTAAGATGGACATCATGATAATGAGTTAGTGTTGAACTGTTAACGGGCAACAGTCATTTATTCAAAGCTTTTTGTTCCTAACTGCCTGTCATTAACTACATGAACTATTGGGGGAATGCAAAAAGCTATCTTTTTTATTTAAGAAGACATTTTCTCTCTTAATTATTAGATTCCCAATGTTGTATCAAATGTAAAAGGTACTTGTCATTAAACAAAATTATTTTTTAGGTATATTCATATGTTCTATACTTCCTCAGTATTTTCCAATGAATGTTTTAAGATTTAACAATGTATATATTCCTACGACTTCACTGTTTTAAAGGTATCTTCATGTAATATATTCATGTGATGGTTATTATAATATTTGCATTTAAAACATTCTTGCTTTATTGGAATATGTAGAAGCCAATGCAGTATTTAGTTTCTCTATCTTACATGCTTACATTTTACTTAAATAATTGAAATAATACTCTACTCAGCCCGTAAATTACATGCAATTTCCAATGAAAAGTTAAAAGCTGTGCAATGGCTTTGCACTAAAACCTTCAAGTAACTTAATAAAGCATGTACCTCTAAACTCAGTAAGCAGCTCATAATGGAGTATGGAAGTTGAGCTCTGTGCAACCCTAAAAATCTCTTAACTAGCCCTTAAGCTTATGTAGAACGCAACCCTTCAGTTTATGTAGATTTAACACGGCAGGTACTGATATTATTCATATAAAGACTAATTCAAGCACAAGATTGAAAAGTGGCATAGAATATTATGGCCCCAATTTGGTGGCTATGACAGGGTAGCATTCTCAAAAATAAAAATAAAAAAGCATATTGTGAGCTATTTGAAACACAGACCTATCAGAAAACAAAAGGAAGGAGGAAAGGTTGTCTGGATCCAAGTGAATTAAGTCTTGGTGTTTAAAATTTTCATTTGCATGTTGCTGAAGATATTTTGACACCAGGCTATGAATTTTGCATTGTGTACTTGCCCTTGGTATTTTCTTTTCTTCTATTTTCCTCTAACCATAGCAACCTGTTACTGCAACTATAGCATTGTATTTCTAAAATATTTTTAAAAGCAAATTTTTGTAACTAAAAATAAACACCATTGAAGCTGCTAGGCTTAAGGATTTGAGGGTAAAATCAGTTACTGAAAAATGTAGAAGCTAAACTGCTTAAAGGTTTACCTCCTTGTTGGAGATTTATTTATAGAGTCACAGTGTTCTTGACCCTTTAATAGGATAGGCAGTAAGAAAGCCTCCTTTTAGATGATTTACACACATATGGATGTTATGATTATGACTTTATTTTCAAAAGTCTTGGGGATACAGTGCTTAATTTTGATTCCAGGATAACAGAGTATGCATTTCTGTAGGCAAAAATGTAAGTCTTCATCAGAGTTAATCTTAAAGAATGTTGGGCTGGGTAACTAACCAGTGATTAAAATAAGTTACATTATCTCCTGAAATCTTTGTTCATTTGTTTGTTTCCCATTTCTAATATTTAACTGGAATTCATTCAAATATTATTATTTGAATATTCATTGCCATAGACAACTGCAACATTTCTTGATTTGCAAAAATTCATATGCTGTAGAATTTTTAGAACTTTCAGATGTTAGAGAGGGTTTTGATCTCGTTGTGACAGGTTTTCTAAACCACGGACCTCTGGCCCTAGCTGTTCTCCCAGCTTCAGTGTCCAGCCAGCCTAACCATACTTAAGCTCCTGTGTTACATTCTCTTAGCATCTGGACACTGTAAGGGACAAATAACATTACGTGTCAGAAACTACCAAACCATACTGAATGTGGAATAATTAGAACACATTGAATATAGGACATTTTTGTTTGTTTTTCAGCTAATCCTGAAAGTAAATCTACTTCAGAATTCTTGAAAAACAAAACAAAACAAAACAGCAGTTTTGAATGTTTTTTTTAATTCCCCCATTAAAACAAAAAGAATACGAGGATAGTAAAACCAAAAAGACTGACAGCCACTTTTGACAAGGTGTTTGCACAAATTTCAACCTATGATCAGACAATTCTCTGGCCCACATGATACAAAAATCTTTGCAGAAGAAAATAGTGGTGTGTCATAGAAGTGAAGCCGAAAGAAGGTAACACTCACATTTCCAGAAGCTACTCATGAAGAGAAACTTTTCCTGCTTATATATCTTAATAATAATAATCTGGGAGAGGTATTTTTTCAGGCAAGTAAAAAGTTTCCTCCCTAAGGCCTTAAAGGTCAAAATTCCCTGAAAGCTATAGATTCTTGAAATTCATGACTTGAAGTACCTTTGTTGGAGAAACTTTAGAGAATGAAGCATAAATTAAATGGTTAAGAACAATAGGGGCAAAGGAAATGAAAAGGTAACATAAAAAGGGAAGAGGTGAACAGATCCAGGGAATCTGAAAAAGTAGAAGTGTTCTTTTTTTTTTTTGGATCAGAAATCCAACTCAGAACCTTGTGCTTGCAAGGCAGGCAGAAGCACCACTGAACCAAATCCCTGGCCCAGTGGCTTTCTTTGAACACTTCAAAAAAGGACAGGAGAGGCAATTCTAGATTTGTGAAGTTTAAAATGGCCCTGACATTATTTCTCTTGCTTAAAATACCAAGGAAAATTGGTTTTATATAAATGAAAATAACACAGAAAGAATGAATACTATAAGACTCAATAATAAAAGTATCTGAAAATAATGCAAACACACTGAAGTTCTATGCTCTTAAGACAAAGGAAAAGTGTAACCTATTATTAAAAAGAAGCTGAAATAAATGTTCAAAAAGTTAAAATATAGAGAATAACACTATAAATCAAAGTTAGGAAAACTCTGAAATGAGCTTCAAAAAATACATGAAAAATTAGAAAATACAGAAAAATAATTTCAGCAATGAACACTAAACATCTGAGAATGCATGATCAGTAATTCAAAGAGAAAGTGCCATTGGGCTTTTAGAAGAAAAAGGGAGGAATGTTCAAATAAAGAAGAGAATTTAAGAGCCAGGGATTTAGCTCAGTGGTTCTGCTGCCTGCCTTGCAGGCTTGTGCTAGGTCCCAAGTTTGATCCCTGGTACCAAAAAAAAAACAAAAAAACAAACAAACAAACAAACAAAAAAAAACTTTACAATTATTTGATCAAGAGTGATATACACAGAAGTGGAGCAACAAAATCCAAAATAATATTTCCTAAATTGAAAATCAATGCAATGAAACAAATGAATATTTATAACTATAATTCAAGGAAACTTTCCAAAAAATAAAATTGAAGCTACTTGATGAAAAAGCAAACTGCATACCTGGAGTGATTTGTAACAGACCATACCAAGACATGCTGTGATAAATCTAATATATTTTAAAGAAAAAAGTCAATTCAGCATCCCAGTAAATATAATAAAGACTGAAAATAGAGTAAGTTAATTATGATAAGGAGGTAAAGCCAGAATGTCTTGAAACTTTTCAGAAAGAACTTTTTTTTTTGCTAGAAGTAAATGCAGGAACATTTTAAAGATACTCCAGATAATATATTATCAGCCAAGGACTTCAGATCTACCAAATTGATTTTCAGGTATAAAGGACAATGTTAGCTATCAACATACAAGAACTCAGAATATTGTTCCCAGCAAAGAAAACATCACTCACCCATTTTCCCAAACCTAAACTTTGGATATTTCTTGAGGTGCTTTTTTCTTTCGCAGCTCATGTCCAATTTAATTGAAGTCCTGCTGCTTTTCCTTTAAAAACATCCTGAATCTGAACTCTCCACCCCCATTGTTATCCTTCTGTTCCAAACACCTTTTTTCTTTCTTGCTAGTCCTACTGCAATATGCTCGCTACTTCTTTCCCTGCTTCCTGTCCCCGCCTCTGCCTCTACTCTGTTTCACCTCTGGCCCCCTTGCTGGCCAGCTCTTCCTGTATTCTCAACTATGTATAGGGAGCACATATGAGTTATTGTCCTGAAATGCTCTTCTTTAGATGGAAAAATCACTTTCTCACTTCTTTAAATTGTCTCTTCAAGTATTTTCTCCTCAGTGTGAATTTTCTGGTCTTTTTTCCAAAATAGCACTCCTTCATCAACTTCTCTATCCTTACTCTGCTTTATAATTTTTCATAAGATTTCTTGATATTCTGATAGTATAAATCTGTTTATTGCAATCGTTCCTTCTAAAGTGTGAGCTCCACAATGAGAGTATGTATATTTTATTCATTTCTGTATCTTCCTACCTCGAATAGTGTTTGGCATGATGTATGCATTCTCTCAATAATATTTCTTGGTTGAATTAATACATTGAAAGTACTACAAATAAAAAAGAAAGTATCTACTATAAAAAGGAGATTGATAATGAGTTATTACTGAGGGAAATATTTGGGAGACATTCTTCAATTCTGTATTAATTTTCAACAATTAATGTGTCATGCTAACAGATGTGTATTAGATTATGTAGTGGGATATGCTTTGAAATTTCTATTTTCCAGTAAAGGGACAATAACACACAAATTCTACAAAGGCTTGTAATTATGAACTAGTATCTATTCAATTAGTGTACCAAGGTCCTAGCAGAAATCAGACAGAATAGCTTACATTTAAAAGTGAATTAGTTATTTTGTGCAATATTTATTGTGCTTAAGTATATGGCAATATATTATTCTATACTTTTATGACAATAAATTGCAGTAATAACAAATAATTTTGTTGACTTTCAAAAAGTCTTTTATGAAAAGTTACAGAGACCAATGTAAAATATTTGAAAATAATTCTACTTACATGTATATGATTTCGTCAGACTGATACTTTTCTGATATTCTACTATATGTTGTATATAATGGTACATTTATCATATCATCTATCAATTATTACCTCCCTCGATATTATCTATCTACAGTTCCTGAGAAGTCTCTGGCCTGTAGCCTCCGTTCCTTCTATTTTCTGAACCAGCCAAAGTCAAATTTAGGACACATTTCAAACTATATTGCCCGTATTTGTTTTGCTTCTAGAAGCCTAAATCCTTTTCCTGCAGTGTTTATTTTGTGTTTTGTACTTTCCAACCAGATTTATTGGTAAAATCATCCATAGCTGCTCTCTATTTCAGCCCATTAGAACAGGGCTTGACCTGCTCTTTCCAATCCATACCAAGTGTGAACTCTAATCTCCACTATTCTCATCTTTTGATTGGGCTCTCAATGCAAATAGTAATAATACTCTTCCCAACTCCATGAGCTAGTACTTGACCACAAGGTTCTTCACTACAAATAAATTTAATCATATAAATGTGATCCATCTTTTCTGTAAGTTTATATAATACATATCTAATCTTACTTGCCAGTGTACAAAACTATGTACTCAAATCCATATATAGCTTGTATATAAAAATGTACAAGTAATGTTATTGAGGTAACAGTAAAACATACATGTCCTAATATGGGTTGGAGATATAAAATTCTCTCAAGCAGATTGCATTAGTTACAAATATATATTTGGAATTAAAAATTATTAAAATTAAAAAAACTATACAAAACAAATCATTCAGTAGAAGGATCCTTCTTCCTGTTCCTTCTCCTCTATATCAATTTGTGCTTGATTTAGTAATTTTAGCATCTTCAAAATAAAGGACATGTGTAATTATATTTATCTAAAATATTCCTTAATTTATGTTAATTAAGGGACCAATGCAGTGTTTGAGTGTAAATCAAGAACTTTATGTCTGCAGTTGGCAATTTAATACTGGTTCTGAATAATCTGTAATTTGAATTTCCACTTATCTTTGTAACAGTTTCTCTTAGGGTCAAGCACTTTCATTAAATTTGGCAATGTGAATGAAAGAAGTTATATATTGTAGTCACAGAAATAAACAACATAATGAATATTTATTAATGCACATGATAGGCCATAGCAAGTGAGAATGAAAAATACATTACGTGTTTACATTTTTAAAACCTATAACAGTAAAGGGTACATGGCCATTAATCCCCCTCAAAATATTCCCCCCTAGTTCAAGCACATTAGTTCTCGTTCTGACACTGCCTGAAGCAGTGCTGTAAGTCCTCTTCTATAAGTGCTTTTAGTTATGCTGCTGTGGCTACCCTGATGTCCTGAATGGATTCCCTGGATAGAAGGTCAAGGATGGAGTGTGGTTATTTGGGTGAAATGAGCCTTAATGTTTACATTTCATGTCATTTTGATTTTGGAGAAGAGTCAGGATTTCCATGGTGTCAGGATTTCCATCTGGTGAACATGGCAGAAGGACATGTTACCTTTTTATGACCCTGCCTTTTTGAAAGGCATGCAACAGCATTCGCCATGTTTTTGACCAACCTTATAAAGACACTCAGCAAAAAGCAGTTTCAGTGCCACTTTAGAAAGCAGCAAGAGGCTGGGGATTTAGCTGTGTTTCTGCTGCCTGCCTAGAAAGCAGCAAGAACAACAGTCTAAACGTGTTCAAAGTAGAGGAAATATTTGGAGGGAGGTTAATGGTAAGGTTCCTTTTACTATAATTTTAAAAAATTTAAACATTCACCATATATGTTGATCACTCTTTTTGAACTTGAATGTTTGGTACCTTCTTGTGGTACGTACTATGGGAGTTCAAAAGTGAGTGGTGGATATTTGGATACTTATTTGTCTTAATCTTTAGAGGATTTGAGAAGAATTCCTAATTTGTGTAAATTATTCTTCTTTTTCATATTATAACTTGATCATTTTAATGCCAAAGGCAGTGATGTTCAAATTTACTTCAGCAGGAATTTAGAAACTGGGAATAAGAATAGACTTACATAAAAGAAAAATAAATATTTACAGCAAAATATTATTTGGGAATTTTCCTACAAACTCACATCATTTAGTTAACAATGTAGTTTAATAATATCACAAATATTTTCTGACTTAAATAACAATTTGCCTCATGTTTTACCTTCTCTTTTCGTGTCTTCCATTTAGATAAGAAATGTTGAAACCAATCAATGTTTAGACAACATGGGCCGCAAGGAAAATGAAAAAGTGGGTATATTCAATTGTCATGGCATGGGAGGAAACCAGGTAAACTCCTTTTTACCAGCTTACAAATTCAAGGGGAAAATATTGTTAAAACTGTTACTGTAGCTCATGACTCATGTGCTAATAACAAGAAGTTCTTAGTTTAGCAAACAAATGAGCCTTCAAACCAAGGATTAATTTGTCTATTTTATGGTTCCAAGTTTGTTAAAGAGAGAACTGAAAAATTAAATCAAAGGATAACACTTTCAATAAAAATACATTTAAAAAGGAAAGTCAAATATTTTAGACCCATTTCACTTTATCATGATGAGAAAATTAGGGTTGTACTTTGTTTACTCTATGTTTCTTCTTTTCATTTTTATGTGTATCAGGATTTCTACAAGTTTTGAATTTCAAAAAAATTTTAAGCACATGAGTTAGCATTGAAGGCTAACTAAAAGCCTAGAAAAAATGTTGGTTGTGTTAGTTCGATTATCAGAAACTTATCAGAACATAAGAGGGATTTTCATGTTCTCCTTAAGTCCTGGAAAGTGTATCTACAACAAGGTTGCTTTGTTGTGAGTCTTCTGTCTTGAGCAGCCTTGCTTTGCAGGCACACTTTTCTCACGTAAGTATGAGTGTAATGAAATGTGTCATTTGTTTAGGTCATAAATGATTCCACGAGGAGTCCTTGTAGTTAACTTTCATGATCATCAGGTGGAGAAGACTTTTGGTGAATCCTCTCCACGCAGTGTACCCACATTCAGGACAGAAAAAAAAATGTTATGAGGAAGAATTCCAGGAGTCATGTCTGTTTTTTATTAGCAAAAAGCAAAAAGCTCTAGGAAGAGTCTCAACATTCTTCTATGTGTTATATGTCTATTTGGCAAAAAATATGTTACTTAAATACCCTTAAGTACAAAGTCACTGAATTTTTAGCCTCAGAGACACACATGGCTGCTTCTTACAGCTTATTTATCACAGACATTGGTCGGACATTCAGAAGTGATTGCTAGAATCCATTTCAGCAGGTTATGAGGGGAAATCAACTAATCATTTTACCATGATGACATACAGAGACCAAAAAAGAGCCTTATGATCTCACTCTAATTCTAATGCATATTAAAATGAGAGATAAATGTACCTGACACAAATTACCTTAAAAATTTAATAATCTGGCTAGGTTAGTGATAAAAAGGATCTTCAAATGTTCATATTTGTGTGAATGACACCATACACCCAGATCATAAGTATTAAAAACATTATTTACTTACAAAATTGTAAAAACTCAAAAATAAGTTCTCCCAATCACCTTTAACCCGAACTTCATTTCTAGCACCTGACACAGTGCTTGTGATTTGAGAGGCACATAATAAACTTATCAAATAAAGAGGAGGATCTTTATGTTTAGAACAGTGGGTTTTTATGTTTAGTAACTAATAGACATTGTGAAGGAATAATTTTAGCTGTTGTCTTTGTAATCAAAGGAAAAACACACCAATCTTATGGGTTTGTAAAGTAAGGGAAAAAATAAGCAATAAACAAACAAACAAACAAAATTCCTGAATACATTCTAATACCTTTACATTGACAATTTAATGACAAGTGAGAAACTGAAATCATATTCCTTTTTCAACCTGTATACTTATTAGTGTGCACAGATATATACAACTAAATATCTGTCAAAAGTAAATGGCTAATTAAATATTAATGTATGCATAGCACGGAATATAGCCACAAAAGTAGCAAAGGAAGGCATGTAAGTACTGTCATTGAAAATACAAAATGGAAAAAAAATCTAGAATGCCTCTTAATTTCAAAGATCTTATTTACGAAAAACATATATAAGTATTTTTATATAAATTTATAATATATATGCATATTATAGAAATGTTATAACCTACTAGAAATGCATTGTAACCATCTGGAATATAAATTGTTCTGAAGAATAAATCTATAAGGAAGTTAGAATTGGAATAGAAATTTTCACTTTTACCTCACATATTTGTTACCTTCATAATAAAAATGGAGACTATTGAGAATAAAAGAGCATCATTTTATAATTTCACCAACTTGACTGGGTGATTTATTAGTAAGCTGCTTAATATTTTAGCTTTAATATTTGTCCATAAAATTTATATGTGCTGACAAAGCGAGCACAATATTTGTCCATAAAATGTATAAAAGATTTCTCTCAAATCTTGTCACTAGTCTCTTGTTTATTATATTTGTCCAATGGCATCAGTTATGCCCTTTACTTATATTATTTCCAGTAACGTTTTCAATTATTTTTTATTTTATTTCTAAAAGTAAAAGCTAAAATGTTCATTCGGCAACTAATTTCAAAGGCAAGACAAAAGTGCAACTTCCTTTAGTATTGTTCAGCTGCAAATAGTGACCTGCTTCTAGTGCTACTATAACAAATAGTATGAAAAAGTTAGATCATCACATAAAACTCTATTATTACTTCTGCTTTGATGGAATTCAGCATTTTCAGGATAATTAATAGTAGCAATTTTAGATTTTTCTCCTGCTCATTTTGAAAAAGGACAGATTTTAGTGTTTTATTTTCAACATTCCTTTTCTGTTTTTATTGCTATTCTTTTATGTTCCCATGGAAGCAGTATCTATATTTGTGGCTTCGTTTTGAATTTTTACAAGTACATTAGCCTCCCAGCCCAAAAAACTCTTTAAATTCTTAGTCTTTACAGAAAAGTCATGACAAACGTTAAAATGATTTTAACTCAGTTACATTTCTAAGTTAAAATAGCTTATGTTTATTGAAAATTATTCCTTAACCATTTCTCTTTGCACAGGAGTCTTGGTGGTTTTATTTGTTCTTAAGTCATGGAGATATCAGGAAGAAACTCTCTTGTTCATAGTTGTTTGAAATATTTTCCTTAAGTTCTGAAATATTAAAAAAAATTGAAGTTGAATCAATGGAAGCTGTTGTAGCTAGAATAATATTTTTTTAAAGCTAATAAGTGGAAAAATGTTAATAAATTTGAAATAATCATCCTGAGGTATGCTTATAACTATTATGAATAAAGTTACTACTACCAAGAATAATAGCAAAATACTCTATTCCTATTTTTTCTTGAAAGGTTTTCTTTTCATTGACAGCTAACATCATGTTGATTGTTAAGAATTAAAGAGGAATTCCATTAATTTGATATAAATTTTTACAAGTGAAGGAAAAACCTTACAACTTATTACGTTTTTAGAAGTTACAGGATTATGATGTAAACCTCTGAAAAGATGACATGGATCCTGACTGCAGCTTCATGATATATCTTCATCCCCAAACCCTCTCATGGGCTCTCAAATACTCAATCATTGTGAACTTCTACAAGCATCTCAAATTCATCTATTTCCAAACTGGAACTCATTTTCTTCCCTTCCAAGTAGTCATTCAAAATGTAGACCTAAGATAGAAACTTTACATCTGAAGTCCGATTGGTCACAAAATCTTGACGTGTATATGAAAAAGTGTCTCACATCCTACTTCATAATCCCTTCATATCCAATCTCTGTCTTCATGTTAGCCTGTGTCTTCTTTCAACTTTATAATTTAAATACCTCATTATGTCTGTGACTACATAATTTATATTATACTGGATTTAAAGTTTCATCAAAATCTTCAGGAACTGTTCGCTGTTCAAAAAATAAATCCATATTACTTAGTATGGTATGCAGTGCTCCTCATACGGTGGGCTCTCGAGTTATGAATGGTCTGACATACGAACAACTTGGGTTATGACCATAATTTTAGTTTTACCTTATGACCAAAGTCTGGAGTTATGACCCAAACACTAGTTGTCAATGCAGATTTAACTCAAAGAGTTCTGGAAGAAAGATTTAAACATCCTTGCCTGTGTGGGATTAATTGAGAAATCCTGGCCGATGTTTCTGTAAGCACATTGAGATCTGCCTGGAAGAAAGTCTGCCTTAAAATTATACAGGAAAGAGACTTTGAAGGCAGTTGACCAACTTGAGTTACAACCAGCCCTCAAGAACAAATTGAGTTCATAAGTCAAGGATCCACTATAGTTTCCTTCCTGTCTTGACTTCCAGTTTGTTCTACCTTGATATTTATTTTATTTTATTTTCTACCTTGATAATTTGATAGCCTCTTTTGCTCAAAATAAATGTCAATAATTTACCTTTCCCTTCATGGTACAAGCATTTTCAAATCTCTACAATTCACTGATACAGTTTCTCTATTTCATTACTGGATCTATTCACTAACTTAAAAGTTTTTTTTTTTTTCCTACTAGCTGTTGGGTACCAATTTCTTAGTCTGCCCAAGACATATTTTTAGTGGACAAACTAATTTTTTAGTGCTGAGATTAGCTCAGTGGTTCCGCCGTCTGCCTCGCAAGCACAAGCACCCAAATTCAATCCCCAATACAAAAACAAAACAAAATTCTAGTTTTTTAGATAGATTCTCCTGCTGTCTAACACAAAGCATTACTTGTAAATTTTCATTGTTATCGATGAGATTCAGTATCCTTGTAGCTGAAGTCTGCTGAGCATCCCTGCTTCTTTAAAAATGTGTCTAGAAACAAATCTGTGAAATCAAAGTTATTCAACATTACAAGGCTTTTAATGTACAGTGACATATGATCTTCTTTTTAAGTTTTTACCTATTTGAAAGGACTAATTGCTAAAACAGAAGCAACACTCTGATAGACACTATGTCTGCAGTATCCTCTTTGATTCTCACAACCATCTTTGAAGTACATTGTCTTATTGTCCTGATTTTACTCAGGATGGATTTAATGGAAATTTTCAGAAATTAGTAGCATGATTAAGGTAGAAAGCCAGTTTGAAAGCCAGACCTATGTCTGTCCGATTCCAAATCACCTTCACAGCCACTGTATTTGCACTCATCCCATACTACACCCCCCGGGAGTGTAGCCATAGAGGCCAATGCTGAGAGTGCATTATATATTTTTTGTACTTCTTTGCTACTTTAGTTTGGGAGACACATTTAATATTTTCAAACTATATTCCTATAGTTCTCAATGCACTTAAGGACTATAAAACTAGCATTTAAACAT